GGACCAGAGGAGCGGTCGTGGGTAGCGGAAAGAGATATACTGGATTCAAACCTGATTCGGGATTTCCATCAGAGTTTCCCTAATCGTCCAGCTAGGGCGTCGGGAGCCGCCCATAGAGAGGGGGGTAATGTTACGTTCCCTGGCTCTCGGCAACGAAAGAGGCAGAAGAAGGCGTAGCCTTAGTTCTTAGCCTTAGTTGTGCCTCATTGTGGTCTGAAACACAAAAGGAGGTGAAATACAAGAGTAGTTTTATCAAATCTTTTATTTTTGTTGAGATTTGAATTCCTTCTTTTGAAAAAAAAAACTAAACAAAAATGATTTGTTGGCTTCTTCACACAAATTCTCAGCCAGCCGCTTGTTTATCAGGGCAGTGCAGTCAGGGTACGAAGTACCCACAAGAATCAAAGGTTTATTTTAAAAAAAAATTGATTAAGACTAATATTACATTCCAAAACACAACACATACAATTTTAGCATCTGTTACAGACAATAATTCAGTTTAGGCACAAAAAACTATTTGAATACTTATGCAATCCTGACTCATTTTTCTTTCATATGAATTATCTATTTATTTCTATTTCTTAATGCTCTGAAAATTTGGAGTTTGTATGTTGTGTATATAGAACTTTTTAAAAGCTACTTCTAAGTGTCATGACTGGAAGATTTAAAATGACAAAATGTGAGAGCTGTGCAAGGCCAAGAACACTTTACAAGGCTCTGTACAAAGCCAGATATTCCTCCTTTAGATACCTGGTAAATAGATTTGGCCCTAGATGAACCAGATCATTTCAATAAGGAGCAGCAGAATAAATAAGTTGTGGAAGTTTTAAGAAGGTCATAGATGTCAGCTGCTGTCTGGCTTCATGGAGAAAAGATGATAGAGGTGTAGGTTGACAACCCAGTCAAGCAGGTTGAGAGTTTTAAAGCAGTCCAATATTCGACAAGTGAATAGAAATTCCTTGCAATTCACTTCAATTATGAACTGCTGCTAGCACTTTGCAACCCCACCGCTCCATTTAAAATATGTTTAATTTATTAAAATCGATTAATTTAATATACTGTACTTTATATTGCGTTATTCCTTATTCTGCTGATAGTGTTTCCTGTGTGGTGGTGTTCCTAGTAACGGTGTTAGGGGGTGCTCCATAGCAACTCTTCTAGCTCCATTCTTTTAGGCCAGTGTCGAGATGTACAGTATGGCTAGGGTTGCCAGTTTGTTAAGGGTCCCTGAGAGGTCACTGGACAGCCTCACCCAAAATAAGTACAAGAGTGTTGACCCCCCCCTCCCTTCCGCCTTCTTATCGAACGAATCTCAGGTACTGTAGCATACAGTATATCTTTTCCCTGATAATGGGATGACTGACTACTCTTGAATGCCTGAATGTGGCAGCACATTGTCATTTTGTACTTCAAATTTGTCAATGTAGAGGCCAAAATCACTGTTTGTCTGATTTAGGCTGAATCTTTCCTTCAGTGCCAAACAGTCCTTCACATAGTCTATTGTCTTTAACATGGTCCATCTACAATAAACAATTTTCAAACAGCAACATTTCAGTAAAAAGGACTATTACACAGCAGAATTGCCTCCTTGTAGCAAGATCGTGTCAGCCACAGAACATAAACAAGGCTGGATTTGGTCAATTCTGAGATGGGAGAATGAAAACCAGATTGTAGTGGTAGTAGTGTTGGTGGAGCAGTAGGTTGTGGTCCTCTCTTTGGATCACACTTTTCGAAACAATAGCCTAGTATTGTGACTAGGGAAACTGCGCTGTGAGGGGTCTTGTCTTTGGGATGAAACTTTAAACTGAGGCCCCGACGTCATTAAAGATCCCCTGACACTGTTTGTAAGTCACTACTTTCGGGCAATATTGCCACCTGGCCCCTGGAAATTTTTTTTAAAAAAGTTCAAACGCCTGTCTTTGCTGGATAGATTAAAAAAAACAGCTAACCTTAAGAAATATATTAATTCAACCAATATCATCAAAGGGTTAACTTTACGTATTTATTTTGTTATGTTTGTAATGGTCTTACAACTCCCAGTTCTGAATTGCCAGTTGGTAATGGACTTGGCTAATGACTTACAACCTGTGTTCCCGTTTAGGAAGAATGTGGACTGTGCACACACCGTCTTCTTTAATGCGCTCTGTCAGAGCCTATCTGGACACCAGTAGAGCTGGCATCAGTGGGTGGAGATGTTCAAACACTTGGTGTATGTGCTTACCTGGCATGCCACAGGTGCAAGGTTACTATCTGTGGGATTATGACTGAATGCCTCTAAGTCAGAATCCCTCCTTAAAGAACTCTTGTCAATACCAGTGTGAGGTCACAAGGGCCCACAAAGTTCAAGCAGGCACACACACACACTGACTGAATTCCTTTTGATCTATTACGTCATAATACCCGTGTCTACATGCCCATTTGGGCACCAGGAGTGAAGGTTATGTGAGGAAAATTAGTTGTTGCATAATTCATGTTTCAAACTTTGCAGTCCTTTGCTGTTGTTTCTTTGGTATTGCAGGTTGAGAATCCCTTATCCGAAATTCCTGGGACCGAAAGTGTTGCGGATTTCGGATTTTTTCGGATTTCGGAATATTTTTATATATACATCTATAAAATGGGACAGCTTGGGGATGGGACCCAAGTCTAAACACGATATCCATTTACATTTCATAATAAAGCGTATACGTATACCCTGAATGTAGTTTTATATAAATATTTTATACTTTTTTTAACATTATACCATCAGAAAGGTAAGATAGTCTCCACCTACGATGTCATGTTTTAATTAAAAGGTTACAGTACACGTACGCCATTTGTATTTTATTTTTTACTGTACAGGTATTTGTTTTATGTAAGGTATAAAAACAAAGCATTGAATGTGATTACAGGTAAATAAAATGAAAACTGGAAAAGTCAGCATTTTATTTTTAAAGTAATGAACAAGTAATGACGCTAGTCAAGTTACACTCATACATGGAGGTGAAATTCAGATCTCACGTAAAAATAACGTTTTGTACTTACTGTACAAAAACAAAAAAACAATATGATGATCACTGCTTAAAATCTTGAAGATAAATGCAGCCTCAGACATTACAACTACATCAGGTCCGAGAAACTTGAAGGAGAGGGTACGTCATCGATGACATCACTGTGAGCTGGAAAGTTCGGTAAGTCATCAGTATCTACCTACGAAGTCGTTTTTTTATTAAAAGGTTACAGTACATAAAGATTTTTGAAAAAAAAGAAAACATGGAATTTGATTACAGGTAAATGTAATGAAAACTGAAAACGTCAACATTATATTTGTAACGCAACAATTACGCTAGTCGTGTTACACTCAAACATAGCGTTTTACGTGGAGGTGAAAGCGGCGCACAGCAGCTGTACGCGGTTGAATCACCCCCCGCTTGGTGGAATTTTCCATTTCTGGCGTGTCATGTCAGCATTCAAAAAACTTTTGGATTTTGGAGGTTTTTGGATTTGGGAATTTCGGATAAAGGATTTTCAACCTGTATTTCTCTTTTTCACGTGTGTATGAATTCATGCACCAACTACAACACAAGATGGCAGCAAACTGTGTCAGATGTACAGTACGTCTGCAAAAGAAACACTACCCTCAGTTCTAAAGGATTTAATCAAATGTCTCAAACATACAGTATCTACCAAACTAAATCACAGAAAGTGTCGAAAGCAATACAGTTCAAGGACTCATGGTATGTTTTCATTACGAAAGCTCACTGGCCCAGTGAAAACGTCACAATGTTGTAGTAGATATGATCTCCCAGAGCTTTAACACAGTCCTGGCAGTGCTGACATACATGTGTACGGACAGCAGTGGGAAATTCCTGCTGTCTTTCCAGACAGTTGCAGCAAACTGGTGAGGGCTGGCTGGTCATGGTGTTCTCCTGTTGATGGCATCAATTAGCTGATTCCACAGATGGAAGAGTGAAACCTGGACAATGGAAGACCAGCAAGATCTGAAGTCATATCCCTGCATAGTCTTGTATTGTCCTGGTGGGTGATTCTTAATCGCTTTGCTGGAGTGGAAAAACTCTGTCTCAAGGACTTGATCAATGAGTTACATGGCAGTGAGGTCGCCCTCATTCTGCACTGTAGGCGTTCTTGTGGTAAAGGGGATTCCTCTGAGAATGAACGCACTGCCATCAACCCACATCATCTCTGTAAGGTCTGTGAAAGGCACAAGAGCATTTGTCAGTGAATAACACGTTCCTCCTCTCTCTCTGAAAGACAGGTCTTTATGGCCAACTGACTTAACATCATGTCAGTCATTCCAAACGGACATGTTAACAATATAGCACAGAATCTCAAATCAAGCAAGGGAACTCAGACCTAAGTAATAATACTCTTTATTATTAAATATTAGTAATAATAGCATTTTTATTTTTAAAATAATTTTACCCCATTTTTGAAAGGGGTATTATATGCAATAAAAACAAGATTTATGGATCTATAAAGTGCTTACTCAGTTTTGCTAATGTACAGTATGGATGATCACTTCATTCTTCAGCCCCTGAAAACTACCCCCTCTTGAATGACCACTGGAAGTATTTTGCTGACAGTCTGTGAATAACATCTGTTTCCTTAAGTACAATGGGTAGAAAAGCATAACAGCCTGGAGATTTCTTTACAGTGAATGGTTCTTTTAGGATCATGTCTGCCTCTGAACTACTAATGTTACATAATAATATAACAAAGCTGCATGTTTTTTAATTTAATTCCTCGCTTGTTAAGAAACAGCAGCTGCCCAAAGAACTCATTTTCTCTATTTCTTGATTGTGCAGCTACAGGGGCACTAAACATGCCCTTGTAGATACAGCTATTCATAGTTCAGTGACTGTGATGTAGTAATACTACATACTGTAAACCCTTTGACATCTAAACTGTTAATTTTGAACATATTTCTTTCTTGAAAATATGTGAAAATATCTGCAGACAATTAAAAATAATTGTTCTGATACAAATTATAAACACTCAAAAAGTGACATAATCTAAATATTTCGGTCCTTTTTGAAGATTTACAGACCTAGAAGTTTATAGTGTTGCTCTTTTTGAATAAGCTGAGGTAGAGAGGTTTTTGAAATATTGACTTATACTGTATACAGTATGATAGGTTCTCTTTAATAAAAACTCGTACATGGAACTAGGAACTAGGAAACTGATAAACACTGTTGTAAACCCAGATTTGCTCAAATGTACCACAGTAAATAAATTATACAAATCCTGTATTCGCTGCCTGAAGATTTTTCCATCATGTTAGTTAAGAAATTGACTTCTTCAACCTTTGTTTTTGAGTTATTTTCTTCACCTGTGAAGTCTGTTACACTCATATCTTCAGACTCTTTGCATGTCCTGCAACCTTTCTCCGTTGACCACATTAGCTTTAAATAAACCAGCATACAGCTCTATGTAGTTTGAGGTTAAGGAAACGTAATCATCACTTGCATGTAAAGACAATTGCTTCGATTGCAATTAATAGAAAATAAATTGCTTAGTTTCAAAATAGAACTCACAAGGGCCCACTTTAGAATGTGTAAAATGTCTTTATATATCGTAAACAGAATTTTGTCTTTCAAAATAGCTGCTTCTGTTGGGTCTTGTTATTCCTGGACTGCGTTCAGGTATTTCCTGAAAAAAAAAGTGACATGTTAGTAATACATAAAAATACACTTTAATCCCTTACACCAGTGTGTGTTCTTCTCAAAATGTGGTATGAAAAACGTTGTATCTGTAAGAATGTAGGATTAAGTACATATAGTATTTATTTTTGGATCAGATAAACAGAATATGTGTTGATGCTTTTGTACATAAGCTGTTAAAAACTGCATGAGGTGAAAGGGGGACGTTAGCATTCTGCCCTGACGAGCTCAGACTCTGTTAAATTTTCTGCGTTCAGTTTGTTGTGAAAGGGGGACGTTAGCATTCTGCCCTGACGAGCTCAGACTCTGTTAAATTTTCTGCGTTCAGTTTGTTGAAAAAGAAATTGAGGTGCATTGTAGGAGCTGCAAGACTCGTGCTTTTACCGTTTTTATTATATTTTGTCCATCTGTAGTTTTCTTATCAATCTTGCAAATGTATCAATAAACAGTTGCTGTTATAGTGACACCCCACACTACACAGCTTAGGCCATTTTCTACAACACAGAATGTAAAACAGGTTATGACCTTTTTGGGACCTCAGCAATTTAGATAGACTGTATTTGCATGCTTAAGCATCAGGTTTCTAATGATCTCGCAACGCTTTTACTGTACAAGTATACACTTACAGCTCAGTTGTCTGTTTCTGAACTGTTATCAAAGATGTTTAAGGTAAAATAAACAATTCTATTAATTCCTGTTAATAGCGCATTATCCGTTATGCTATTGGTTTGTAAAATTAGAGTGTTTCAGCAAGTCAGTGCCAGTTCAATAACTAAGAGCTCATAAGTTGTAGACTAGGGAACGCCATTCAGCACATAAGGCTTGCGCTGTTGCCTGTAAGTGATTATTAAGTTTCTTCGTGATCAACATACAACATACTGTACGAGTTATTCCTGTTGAGTTTTCTGTTGTCTGATAGTACTAAGCCACACATTGAAATGGGCACAAACTGTGGAGATTCCAAGCACACTGGAGTGAAAAGACTGAATCTAGTCTGTAAATCACGACAACGGGAGTTAATTGGCTGCTTGGTTGATACAGCAATGAAGATGCTGATTTAAGTTAATACCGTCTCATCTTATTCAGAGATGTTCAAAAGTTTTCACTATTTAAGAGCAGTAGGTAGCACGTTTAATATCTTAACTTGAACAAAGACAACGGAGCAACTTACAACACAACTACAGGATCTACAACGGAGGATACTGCACACAGGAACATGTATTCTGCTCTATTTAAGTATAAACCTGATGTTTTTTTTTTACCAGGCTAAGCTTGTAATTAGTGTGGAGCTCATAGCAAGTACTGTATGTTAAATTTAGCACTGGTATTAACATACACATGTGTACAAAACTGTGCAAGTAAAACCTCCACAAATACAGAGAAATGAGGACATTAACTGTGTTCTTAAAAATGGACAGTTGAAGACTAATGCAGTAGTCATGTAAATACACAAGAGTGGAATTTTTACAGTACCTGTTGATCCTCTCCATTGCCGCTATGGCGACTTTGTTCATGCTTTGTTCTGCAGAAATAAAGAAATTCTAACATTAACAAATGGGCATTAAACAAATTGGTACCGGAAAGGCTGTATGACAGTCAAGAATCTATTCCCTCGTTAACCTTTTTTTGATACTGCAGGAAGCATTTTAATCTACATTTAGCACGGATCAGAAATGAAAAGTCTGAATTTCTTTTAATAGGATAATGAGCATTTAAACAGGGACAAAATATAGTGTTAAAAAGCAACAGTCAAAATACAGCACTTTTACTGGAAAACAGGTAGCCCTGTGATAACCAGGACCGACCAATATTCTCTTGGGTTAACAGATGCTGAGATATTTGGAGTTTAAATCAAGGACTCGGAACTACAAAAGACAAGAGCTGCTCAAGTTTTAATCAGGGTTAAACTACCTCACATACTGCATCTGCAATAAATGACTATGGCGATTATACTGGAAACAGCAAAAATAAAGAAGGTTTCAGCTTCACATTGCAATATTGTGCTATACAAGGAGATCTAAGACACACTATAATAACTAGAAATACATGCAAATCTGGACCAAATTCCTTACTCATCAAATCACACAATCCTACAGCCTGTGTGAAGCTACTGTATTGTTTTCTGTGTAGAAGGATGTGTCACATAGAAAAACACTTTTGAACAAAGTGATTGGCTGAAATATATGGACATACCAGGCAACGTCTGGTTTAACTTTTCTACATTAAATATTCATACAAAACAGTTGGAGTTGGAAGACAACAATCAAACAATATTTACAGTCGATTTAAGTGGTATATTTACAAAAAAAGTTGTAATGTTGTTCATGAACTGATACTGGTCTTTTCTAACCCATATTTGCACATTTGAAAACCTCTTATTCTACCCATGCTAAGAAATTAACATATACAGTAGATTCGCATTTAGATAGCAAATAGAAAATAATTCATCAATGCATAAAGTATTTTTTTTAAATTACCACATAATGAAGAAAACTGAGAAACCCAATTGTTCCTTTCCTAATTAAATAAGATGCGCAATTTGAAATGATCTTGGGTTTTCTCTTGTACTCACCGATACCGCCTTCCCACTACACAGCAGATGCCCACTAACACAGAAGATACCACAATGGGAGGAACACTGTAGAGAACAAGCTTCTCTGTTTGGGTCTCTGAAGAATTGGTTTCTAGAAACATACGTACACAAATATTTTCTATTACAGCTGAACTACGAGATTTTCCAGCAAAGTCTGGTATTATTCTAAAACAACCCTCAACATCCACAGATTACATTTCGACTCATATTTAGGTCTGAGTCTTTGAAACATTCATTTTTCTGATAGTAACGTAGAAATGTCCCACGACACTGCATATCCTGCATAGGTAACTATTTTGTCTAGATTGACTTCAACACTTAGTAACTGCAAAGTTGCTCAGGCAGGACTGTCAGGGCTGTCAAGCAGTTTAATAGCTCTCCAATATATTTAGGTTTTAAATTCAGATTATGAGCGTCTATTGAGTAATGGGGAGGAAATCAATGCCTAGGACATGGTTGGCTAATCAGCAGATTAAGTGCTTGATGCAAATACAGAAATAAGATAGCATTGAGACTGTTCCATGTCCAAGCAATCTTAAAATGGAAAATGGAAACATCAGCTATGGAATGAGAAAAAGAACCAACGTTTTAAAAGATCCAAGAATTAAAACATTTTTCACCTTCGATCTGAAGTCTCCATTCTCTTAAATATACATTAGATATTGTAGTTACAGCGCAGGTGTAGTTCCCTTCATCAGATTGTCGTACATCAGTAATCTCCAGCTGTGTAGGGGCAAGTCTCCATCTTTCGTCAGTTGTGTTTTGAATAGTTGTATTGTTAAAGTAACTGAAAAAGAGTAACCCTTCTTTCTTCCAAGCTATTTGGGTTCCATCAGTAAGCGAGATATTGCATGGCATGATGACTCTTCCTCCCAAAGATACCAACAGAGTTATAGGTTCCGCCTCACTCTGCTCTATAACAAGAGAAGATGGAAAAACAAAAATAAAAAACAACATTCAGCTAACACTTCTTTTGTAATTCTTTGAGATTCACGAGGAATTACAACACCCAAGAATTAATCGTACTGAAAGGATCATGGAGTGTTTAATGAAAATTTAGCTTAAGCTGCTTGGCAGAGGGCTGAGCTCCTGGCCAGGGGACGAAGAGACTAGAAGCCCCATCTAGAGTGAGGAGAGACCAAGGGGCGGCTGCAGAGGGGGAGATGGGGTGGAGGAGGGATGCAGAAAGATGTATGTGAGGGAGGGAAGGGGATCCTTTACGGTGTTAATAGTGTTTTAGTAGAGGAAATGTGTCAATAGTGATTGCTAATTACTGACAGCTGAGTCAGATTGAACTCGGTTGTTGTCATCCCTCCCGAACGTTTGTTACAAACTTCATTTCATAGCCAAGGAAAATAATTGATCAATCTCAAATAGGTTTTTAAAAAAATAAGGAGAATGACTAGAATTCAGGAATTAGGCAAGTGTTAGTAGCTCTAATGCAAACTAACTGCATCAATAAAGGGATAAGTGGTAGAATGACAGTATTAAAATTCACGCAGTGTACACTAGGAACCCAACAACATAAAGTGTAAAGAGGTAAATATTCAGGAGCCTAGGAAATGACACTATCAGGCAGTAAAGCAAGCAAATCTAAAATTAATTTTCTTGTTTTCCTTTTTTATCTAATAATCTGTTTTATCGGATATTTTCTGTGCTCTTTTGGTAGTGCTCATCTTTATACATACAGATTTAAATTAGCGAGATGCACATGTATAATTAATGATGAATGATTGAAATGTGTATTGTGGCATGAGATAGATGGTTTAGTTTGAGACATATTTTCCTTGGTTGCTTATTTCTTTTTCCTGAAAATTAAATCCAACCCTTGGAAAATGACTTACCACCCATTAAATATCCAAATGAACCAGCAGCAGGGAGATCTTGTTGGTTAATTGTGGACATAATTACTGCCCTTGCTATTACAGTACTTTTCTCCGAGTTACATTACATGACATTATTTTTATAGTTAATTCAATTTTCCTTAATTTTTGTTTTGATTTGTGAGTATAGGAGAAAGGGATCCACTGGTCCTGTAACAGATTTTAAGGGTCTCATTTCATAATTAAGTAAGGACTTGATACATACTGTACTGTATGTGGGAATTTTTGTTCAAATGCAAAATTTAGCACTGTACAGGATTTCTATGGGTAGACATCCAGATCCTTCCCCACAATTGCTACTGACACACAACTGAAGATTAAAGTACAAAAACAGTTATCACTTTAAAATTAACCCCAAACTTGAAATGTTATCCGTTTTCTAAAAGCTTCTTCCTATTCAGGGTCACTGGTGAGCCAAAGCCTATCCCGGCAAGCCACAGGCATACAGCAGGGTACGCCCTGGACAGGACACAAATCTTTCACAGGGCAGACGGACAAAAAGACGGATGCACCTAGGACCAATGTTCCAAGAAATCAATTAATCAACCAGTATGTTTTTGGACTGTAGGAGGAAACCAGGGCACCTGGAGGAACACAGGGAGAACATACCAACTCCATGCAGATAGCACCCCAGGGCCCCAATGCTGCGAGGCAGCTATGCTAGCCATTTCTCCAACGTGCAACCCTAAAATGATTATTGTACTTGAAAAGTATTCTTATATAGAAAAATATAGTGTATAACAGAAGAAGGTATATTATTCCGATGAACTCGTTACTTAGTGGGAGGTTTGTCCTGCACTCAGATTAACTGCACCCATGACACTGAATAGTAAAATGGTATCAATACAAGTTAATTATGACTAAGTAAAATTCCCATACTTACACAAATCTTTCTGGTTGTTTTCTCACTGATGTTGATAAATTCCCATTGTAATCAACACTGGTAGATATACTGTATCGGACATCAAACTTTAATTGCCGTTTATTTATTGTGTACATATTTCACAAACCTTAAATATGATATTTCTTTAGCCTTTTATACCTCAGTAAATAAACAGAATGTTGTACACATCAGATTCAATTTAGGACACATCATTTTTTGGATAGATTTCCTTATTAAAAATGTTTCATAAAAGAAAGAGGAAAAATAATGCTCTTCAGCTATTAGTACGCTACTAGCAATCAGCAATAAACTATTGGTCGTCCTTTTTGAGTCTTACTGCTGTTTCTGGAAAGAGGGAATATGGTCTTCTCTTTTCTTCCCAAAAAGCTATATGACTGAGAACAATTAAATTTTCACTTTTCCAATTTGCATCTCCTTTGATTCAAATAAGGCATTCTAATGCACAGCCACTTGAAGAAGCACAGTACTGTTTCGATTACAAGTACATCCCCTTTAATACCATTGTAGAATATCAGGGTGCCATTTCTGCTCTAACCTACAGTATCTACTAAAATAGATTTCAGCACTACATGTCTCAAATGAAAGAATCCAAATGATTTATGGCATTTCTGCTCTTGGTGCTTGCACATGGTCAAATACTAAATGAAGTTGCAAAATAAAGTAGAGACAGACCTTGTACAACACATCATCAGAGCACCCAGAGCACCTCTTGCGCAATGACCAACTCAGGTTGACAGCAGTGAAAATGAATAAGAAATGAACCCAGGCCATTCACAGTGAGAGACACATGAAACACACTGTACCTGCCAGAATACACAGCGCCAGCGAGATTTCAAAGGACAGTCTCCACGCACTGATGATCATGCTGCCTCTGTCAGCGCAGAATCAAGACACTCAGTGAGCTTCATATCAAAAAGAGAAACACTGAAAAGGAAGTGGTGAACTATGAGTGAGGAAGTGACAAATCTGCTGTGTACGGATCACACTCTGAGATAAGATTTCTAAATGTTTTATTGGAAACATAAAAAAAAAATATTCTATGCAGTGTTGTAACCAGATTGGTCAATATCATTTTCTGTTTAGACATGCGAGGAAGCCTGTCAGTGTTTTTCGAAGTGCAAGATAACAGCCCAGGGCTTTAGAGTCTCTATATTGAGCATGACCCCTGTCACAATATTTTCCTAAGCTGTTTTCAGTGTCAGATAACAACCGGAGGAATAAATAGTGTATCACAAAAGCACCACACAGCAGAATGCTTGAGGGTTGATCTGAAAGTATATTTTAAATATAAGAGCCAAATATTGAAGGAAAAAATAGGATGGCTTCCTGTATGAGAAACAGAGGCATCTTAATCATTACATTTTGGGCTGTTTTATACCTTGTTTTTTGCATGTGGAGCACCACATTCTGAAGCATGCTTCTGAGCACCTAGACTCCTCTGGCAAAACAGCTTCCATGATACAAACTCCCCTGAAGCACAGAGATTTATATTTCTTGAATGAGTCGCCAAGCAGGATGGGCCAAATAGCCTTTATCATCATATTTAATGCTTGGAAATACCAGGCTACAGTGTCATTATATACTAAGCATAAACATCACTGAGTTCATTTGCACCAAACCAGATAATGGGCTGGTGATATTCCTTAGGAGGTCATTTGCACAAATGTCTTATTCTGACACCAATATCTGCTTGGGACACTAAAAAGTGCACAAATGTGATTCGGTTTATTGGGGACATAGAAGCACAAGGCTGCTTTAAACTTGCAGAATATCCACTGTTCCTGCTTCCAGATAGTATGTGCTCCAATGACTCTGGCTTGGATAGAAATGTCGTTGTGGTCTACCACTGGAACTCTGCTGCATGTGCTATGTTAAGTTGGGAGAGAATCGTTAACATTAAACTTTAAAAAGCACCCAAAAGGTCACCATGTATTTTCCAAGTATCCAAATGCAAAATATGTCTTGCAGACTTGAGTGACATTGCTAATATTTTACAAGTAGAGCAAACACTGTAAAGGAAACATCAGGGTGCTCTTTTGAGGACTTGTATTAACCTCACCTCTTTCGTAGCAATTAAAATTATACAGCACGATAGTAAAGTTATTTTTATACTTGCCTAAGTGGCAGTTTGTAGTTCTGCATAGAGAATGTCTTCTACCATTTGCACAACTAGGTGTTAATGGCATTCTGTTATGTGGCAATCTGTAATGAAAAGCCCCTTATTCCCCAAAATCACAGTGTGACAGATTAAGACAGGTTCATTACATGGACAACACAAAAGTAGCAAGACAAACAAACAAACACCTGCAGACGTCCAGTGAGATGGAAAAGGCCTAGAGCTGAAAAGGTACAAAACAAAGTGAAACACCACAAAAAAAGTGTAATCAATTAACTCATCACGTCAGAAATTCAGTACAAGGCTCAGGAAACCTATTGTCTCTCCGAATTAATTCTTCTCACAAAGAATTACTTTGCCTTAACCTGTTTCAGAAGAGACACAGGTTTGAGATACCCATTTTAACCCCAGGCTCCTCCCTCTTGATCAGGTCCAGGCAATGACACAATTAGGGCTTGCTTTTTAAGCCTGAAACAAGAGGTGGTCTATAATACTGAGCTAAAAAAACACAAAGGAACAGGTAAAGGTTTATTCCACGCTGAAAAGAGACACAACGTTTCGGCTGTGGAGCCTTCTTCAGGTGAAGAAGGTGAAATGTTGTGTCTCTTTCCAAGCGTGTCGATGTCCCAACAAACATGACACCCAACCCTTGTTGGCAACATCTTCCTGTGTCATTGGATTGCTGAAGCATTGATAGAAAGAATTAATCAAGTAATATTAAGCTGCAAAGCTGTTCTCTTAATGGGAATATTGTCCTTAGCCTGAATACAATGTTCTATAATAAATAATAGGCACTAGAAACAATGAAGCTGTGCAATTCACCATGGTATTCAAACAATGGTACAACTGAGACAGTATTCTTAAGTTGCTAAGAACTGCTTCCAGTAGTCTCCTGGGAGACTGATGATGATGATACGAAGTCACAAGAAAATGTTTTTTTAAGTAAAGGAATATTTGCTTGTGGCCTTACGGAAAGGAACATTTACTTTCACAAAAGACCTAAAGCTACCTAAAGTGTAGTTCCCATTATCAAAAACAGACATTAAAGGAATTCAATTTTTGAATTTCATAGTTTCATTCATTAAACATAATTTTTTTTAACAAAGTCAATTAAATAAATACTCATTTTAAAGAACTAGAAACCCCTTTAAATAATGTCAGGACCAGCAGGATATTAACTGTGTTGTATTTAGTTCAGCTGTAGCTTCACACTTAGATTTCAACCTCCAATCCTCCAATCCAGTGTTCTTACATTGACTGGACTCCCAGCTCATTTCTATAGCTTCACCTTTTTCCGAGAGCTCACTGTGTGGCCTGATTCCAGACGAATAATACTGAATTTAATTGAAAGCCATAAACATGATTTTATGCAGATGTCTTATAAGTAGTAGTCTCAGCATTACAAAAGAATGTAAATTACAAATCAAGAAAAAATGCCAGGTACAAATGACTAAAAAATTGCAAAAAATCCTTTTTGTAAGCAGTTCTTTACACCACTTCCCTCTCCTGACTGTGGTCTATAATGTGCGGCGGGGACATGTCATTGCTGTATGTGCAGTGACTAGGATGAAAATCAACACCTCCAAACCATGTCTTTATACTGTAGGTACATATCCTCAGCCATGGTCATGAGCTTTGGGTGATGGACCAGAAGGACAGAATCAGGAATGGATAGGGCAGAAATGAGTTCTTTTCAAGCTTACTGTCTGTGACCGTGTGAGAAGTTTAAATGTCCTTAACAACCCTGGAGCAGACTAACTCCTCCAACGTCAAGAAGAGCTACACTCACATATCAGTCAAAATGCATTAGAAATATTGTATATGTGTCTTTTAAATGTAGAGTTTTTGCGTCACATTATGCAGTTCTACCTTAGCATGCACTGCCCTATAGAATAATAAATGAGATAACACTAAAAGTGTTAGTGTTATAGATATATCACACTATAATGCTGAAAAATGTATAATGCATATACATGTATAATCAACACTGAAACAGGAAGCATTGAGCAACACCCCACCACTACCACTTCCTGACCCAAGTATTCAAAGATCTTCAGGCAGGGTGGGGGTCAAGTGTTATTCCAAACCCTTACCACCATGTGGTATGAGCTTTTGATTCCTTAATGATAATCAACACTATCATTTTTTAATGATAAGTAGCAGTCTGAGGTTTTCTGGCTGACCAGAAAAATGACTCTGAAACACCTTGTTTGTAAATACTGTGCATAGTAACTTGTCTGTGTAGTGTAGTTGTGTCTTGTCATTGTAATAAATACTTGTTAAACTAAGCGTGCCCGGATTATTACTCCTCTCAACAAAGCTGTGCTAGAGGATAAAGAATTCATGTGCCTCTGATTATACCAGCCGCTCGGGCATATTCAAGAGAAACCACTTACAAAATTGGGGGTTATGAATTTGAATGATTAAACCACTCGGTCAAACCCTGATTTTCCACATTTGCATAACCCCCATTTGTAACAATATAATAATTGAAACAATAATAACAAATCCCAAATGATAGGGAAAGAGCAGCCCCAGCTCTGCGATATATATCACAGTCCAGTTCTCAGAATGGCAGGGAACATCGGAGCTTATTCCACACACACGCTCCATTCTCAATTCCCAATACTCCCATCAGGAAGATAGTATAGGATATCTAATTCAAATAAAAACATTTATAAAAAGTCTTTTGGCCCCTCTGCAATAAAACTACTCAATGAATGTGTGTAAATGTATTCCCCCCACTAGCTAGTTATTGATAACATACTGTTGTAACATACATTAACATTCCCATTCCCATTTACATGGTGTAACAGATACAGTAGTCTCCCAAGAACAACAAAGCACAGGTCTTATTCATGGGAGGATGTGGTAGTCTTATCTCGTGCATCTGCCTTTAAATATGCTGGTTTGTCTCTTCCTTATTTCTATACTTTCAGGATTATTTGCTCATTAACCAGGTGGACAAATGGTACAGAAAGAAAATTCAAATCCGATTATTTTGTCTAGGATTATTGTCAGTCTAGGGGAGCACTACATCAATACCATTCAACAGAAAAATCAAATGATTCAGTGATCATTTCCCTTAAATGAAAAGGTCACTCAATGTTCTCAATCTCAATCTTCTGTGCAGTCCTGCACCTTGTAAAGGGAAAAGTCAAATATGAGAAGTGAAAGACCATCGTAATACCACACCTAGTCAATGTTTGTTTTCATTGATGTACAACTTCTATATTTCCAAGAAAAAAAATATTACAATGGAAGTTAAGACGATTTTTGTCCACTATTCGCAAACCCTGTCTAATTGTCCTAACAGTTAGAACCAGAAACCTATTATTTTCAGTGTCCAGATCTCCTG